TTTTTGATGGAATCTGAGAGCTGTCTGACCCTGCATAGACAGCAATGCAACTGAAATGTTCCCAAGTCCAGAAACGTAGCAAGGAGATCTGTAAAATAATCCATGTGACATCAGTGGTTCATCCGCAATTATACGAAGCTACGAGAATACTTTTTGACTTTATTCAACAATTTGTCTCCTCCGCATCACCCTGGTGCCATTTTGGAGAATATCAGCTGGACGTAAACAATGTATGCTGTTTGATGTCAGTTGCAACACACGGCTATGTTGTTTTCATTCGAATCAAAGCAGGACTTGGGAACATTTCAGTTGCGTTGCTGTCTATGCAGGGTCAGACAGCTCTCAGATTCCATCAAAATATCTTCATTTGTGTTCCGAAGATGAACGAAGGTCTACGGGTTTGAAATGACATGAGGGTGAGTAATTAATGACAGAATTTTTGGGTGAACTAACCCTTTAAATGATATTTTATAAAAATGTAAGGTAAAAAGGTAATTAATAGTTGTCTTAAGCAAAAAAAAAACAAAAAAAACATCCCAATCAAAATCATGTTACGTACACGGCTCTTCCTGTGTACATTACTGACAATCATCTTAAAGGTATAGTTCGGCGAAAAATGAAAATTTACTCACCCTCATGCCGTTCCAAACTTGTATGATTTTTTTTTTATCTGTGTGTAGCAAAGATATTTTGAAGAATGTTGGTAACCAAACAGTTTGAGTTCCTACTGACTTCCATTGTACTTTTTGTCTGTACATTGGAAACTAATGGACCCAAAAATGTTTGGTTACCAACATTCTTCAAATTGTCTTTTTCAGTACGCATACAGGTTTGGAATAACACAAGGGTGAGTAATGATTTACTAACAGAATTTTTATTGTCGTACAGACTATCCTTGACCTAAAATATTGTGCATTTTAATCCAAATGTTCGGTCTTCGTGATCTAAAGTTGGGAAGCAGTGTCACAAAGACAAAATATTGGCTTGTGAGCACTTCATACTCCATCTGTCCACCAACAGTGGGCTACCCCTTCAAACTGTGGCAGACCCAGATGACTAAACTGAGATTTAAAAAAAAAAAGTTTTTAGGATTAAGATAACAAAGAAAGTGAGCCTAAGGTTGCACAAAGGATGTAATTGCTCAAAAAGGCCTGATTTAATCAGTCATGTTTTCTTAAAATTTGTCAGTAGTCATTTGATCTTAGTGTAACAAAACTATGTATGTCCCAAAGTCAACAGGTTGCATAAACAGACAGTATGTACTCAATGTACTGCAGAAATCATGCATTAAGGGGTACAACAGCTTGTCACTAGGGCAGTATCCTCAAAGGTACATCTTTGTAACCTATCAACATATTCATATTAGTGCCTTACTGTACCAGTGACAAGATAAAGGAACAATTTTTCATTTTTCTCTCTCTCTTTCTGAGAGTATGGGGGCAGCAGCATCATCCAAATGTCACTGACAGAGCTAACAGACCCTACCTAAAGAGTGCATGCAGCAACATCTGCTACTTTAATCATAAACAACTAGATTCATTCAGGCAGCAGTTTCAAAAACTATTTGAAGAATTATTGCCACTCATAAGTGGCTTCTTTGAAAAATGAACTGATTACGCTTTTGAAAATATTTAAAATGACCTACTGTCCATCAGTGTTGTTATTGTTAACTAAAACTATTAAATTCACTTTTGGTAACTGAAATAAAGCTGAAATTAAATAAAATCTAAATATTAGATTTAAAAAAAATAGAAATGTTGCCTTGGCATTTAACTGAGATACATTTACATTGAAGTACTAAAATTACTCAAATAAATGAATAAATACACATACACACACTATATATATATATCTATCTCAAACATGAAAATATAAAACACAACTCGTATTAATAAAAATTATAATAGTATATAAATAGTACTAAAATAAAACTGCCGTCCACTTAAAATGCAGGTAAATTCAGTTTTCAGTAGCCTGTGCATAAAGTTACATACTAATTTAAGTTACAGTTCACCCAAAAATGCAAATTCAATTTACTCACACTCGTGTTCAAAACCTGTATGACTTACTTTCTTCTGTGAAGCATAAAAAGACAAAAAAGGACAAAAACGGATAAAGTATTGTTTTGTGTGTTCCACAGAAAAAAAAAGTCATACAGGTTTGGAACGACAAGAGGGTGAGTACATGAGGACAGAATTTTCGTTTTGGGGTGAACTATCCCTTTAAAATATGATCTAACCTAATAACCTGCTCAGTAACAGAAATTTGCCTCTAAATGCTATACATTTAGTTTAATGTTTCAAGTACTTTTTTTTATAACAGCATACAGATATTTAGGCCACAATTTGGTATTTAAAAGTGTGGGGAAAACAGCTTTTAATATGAAGAATATGCAAATGACAGAGTACAAACTCTTGAAACGGTCTTAATTGAAATATTTGCAACTATTTCTAACTATACACTTCTAGGGAAGCTGACCTAATGTGACTACAGTTTCCCCTCCACCATCCTTATCTTCAGACATCAAAGAAGACTTTTATCTTTAGCTACGTCTTTATAGTAATATGGAAATGATCTGAAGTGGGTGTTTAAAGTAGACACAAGAAAAAGGGTCTCTGATGTCATGAAACATCTTCCCGCCCACAGCAGGAACCCATGACATCACAACACCTATGGAGATTGCATCACAGAGCACCACAGATGGCCTGCCATCTTTTCCATTTGAGTGCGCGAGTGTGTTCGCACAGAATATGGAAAGTGCAACGTGTCTGACACTCGGCTGTGTGCAGGTCAGTCGCCTGGGACTTTCCCTCCCCGAGCAGCACAGCCGAACACATGCAGAGCTCAGCACTCGGGCTATCACGCACAGGGTGGCTTGCATGTGCTGCTGGAGACGTTCATTCGCCCCTTCGTAGGGGAAGTCCAGTGTGTTGTGTTATGAGGAAGGCGTGGGGGCCAGTGTGCCTCTCAGCTCCGTGTTTGTGAGGGGATCCCCCTGCTCACTCCAAAAAAACAACGCTTGAGACTGGGGGCAGCAGCCGCGGATCTCAGTCAGGACAAAAACAAACAGATTTAACTTTTTTTTTTAAATGAGAAGTTGGTTTTTAGACTGCTTTTCAATGGCGCTGAATCTTTTGATAAAGTGGACCTTGTGGTTCCTACAGACCATTTTGTGTGAATCAGTACTACTATCAAATGCAAAAGAACCAAACGAGTGATAACGGACAATTTTTTTTTCTTCTCTGTTTTTGACAAGTGAAACTAAAATAAGGGTCGATAAACCATAAAAGGCTATTGTTGTTTTCCGCTGGTCCTTCAGGACCGTAATCAAATAACATTCAAATGTTGTTTGTGCTGAAGGAGGTCTCACAGTGCATTGATTTCAGTATTAGATTTGCCTCTCAGAGGCTTGTGTTATCAAAGCCTTACAGGGAAACCTCACCCAAATCTATCAGCCACCCCAGCAGCACATAGAAAGATACATGAAACGCTTGAGCAGCCTGGGTAAACCCAGTTTAGCAGGATGTTTTATCTAAACCTGAGAGTTGTTGATCAGAATCATCTTGATCAGATGTGCTAACTGCTAAGAAAAACAGAAAAGATCGTAAGAAATCATACATGAAGCATCGGTATTTCCACAATTACAGCATACAAGCAATTACCCAAGAGGCAGATTCTCTTCTTCAATGTGCAATTATAATTTATTCAACTTGTCTGCTATATGTATAGTTATAAGCCTTAAGCTGTAAGTATTAAAGATCATAAAGATCTATTCTGTTATATTAATCATATTTAAACAAACCATTAAATTTGTATAATAATTAACCATTACAGTGGCTTATTAATGTTATTCAAATTTAATTTATTTTTAGCAGCCTGAGACATTATTAGATGTCTGAAATATTTAATTTATCAAAAGTCAAGGCAAAATAAGTATTCATGGTCTGGACACAATGAGCTCCACAGACTATGGAAACTTATCATAATTTTAACTTCATAATTTGTCATTGATAATGATATGTATTAATTGTTCATTCATAGTGTATTGAGTTTCTCACTACTGTGCAATGTTTCATTTTCAACAGAATTAAAAAGAAATCCATCATAGTTACAATACCGCACAGGGGCATTTTACGTGTTTATCATGGAATTCTGCAATAACTTTTACAATTTTAGCACAAAAAATCTACATAATTGTAGTAAACAGAACCATGTCACCTTCTGCAAATCCTCAGTATGCATAACAAATCTTAATGTTATATAGTTCACACTCTTATACAACAATCATCTATGATCTCGAACACCTACAGTCACATTACCGCTACAAAGGTCGATCAGCTGATCAACAGCATGTCAGATGATGGAATAAGGCCTTGTTTGCTTTGGCATAGAAATGAATGATGAATTAAGGCAAAAGGAAAATTAGCGGTCCACTCGTTGTAGCATGTCACATATGCATGTTTGCACTGCGTGTAGGAGTTATTCTGCAGTTGTGGTTGTTTTATGTGCATTGAGCGTCTGGTGTTTATTTCAGAATGCGCGTGGGTCGCCAACTCCGCCGTCTCGTGGCCTCCACTACAAAAACAAATATGTTTGGGTGTGTCACTGAGTGTCGTTCTTACTGTTGTTGTTGCTCTTAAGCTGTTGTAGCTGCAGGGCGATACTTTCTTTCCTCTTCCGTTGGATCAGGTTGCCCCCGGCAAAACCAAGCAGTCCACCCCCCACGGCAGCAGCGACCCCCGCCACTTTAAATCCCGCTAAGAGTCCCAGCGGCCCTCCTAGCACTCCTCCCACCACTGCACCCGCCACGGGCAAAACCGCCAGCTTCAAACGAGCCGCCTGTGGAGAAAAAGCACATATGCAAAAAATAAAAAAAATAGGAAGGGGGCAAAAACCTTTTCACGGCACTGTATATACATACATACATACATACATATATATATAATTATTTATTTATTTTAATTATTATTATTATTATCATCATTAGTCCTATCTATGATCATTATGTTATATGTAATATATTTAATATAATAATTAAATAACTATTTAATAATAACAACAATCATTTAAACAAAAACAACAGTTATTATTATTATCCTAGCTTAATTATTAAACGATAATTATTAAAGAAAAACAACAATAATAAAATTATTATACATTATTATAATTAAATTATTAATCTAATATTATTATGAATATTATTAGAAATCCTCTCTATGATATAATTTTCAGTTTTTTGTACACATTTCGGCATGTTTGTTGTACCACATTATTTTTTTCAAATATTAAACAATACAATAATAAAAAATAAAAAAATCTTCATTATAATATGACAATTGTCCTCATGATATTTTTTACTTAATGTCTAAAAAAAATTATTTTAATTCTAAAATAAAATACATGCTCATTATAGAAGAGATGTGTTCAACTCATTGCGTGTATAAATTGCATTCTGTATGTATTTTTGAGTCAATTAATACCAATGAGCCTCATGTCACTGACCCACATGCAATGTGCATGAAAGCATCAAACAGGTGAGAAATGAATCATTTAGGTGGCATCAATGTCCCAAAACGGTGTTTGAACTCACACATTTTTCATGTGCTATTTTTCTGATAACCAAACAATTATAAAGTCTATCATGTCCAGTTTACAGCCAAACAGAAACATATGCAGTCATATGTAAACACACGCACAATATTAATCAGAGATCTGAAAAAAAAAAAAGAAAAGCCACGATTAAATTGGATGTGTACAGATCAAACCAGACCTGGTAAATTAATTGATATCAGGTAAAAAGAAAAACACCTTTAGCCAGATTATTCTTTAATTAGCACAATGAATCAAGCCCCCCAGCGTGCACACACACACACAATTTAATTTCCGTGAAGATATGTAAACTTTAAAGGCAGGGTCGACTATCAAATGCCACCTTCTCATCTCTCCTTCACCCTTTCTCATGCTCTCGTTCTCTGTCATCTAATCATCTTCACAAGGCAGGGTTAATCAAAGTAGTTAATTATGTCTGGAGAGAGAGATTGAGGAAGTAACTCATGTTATTCGGATACACCTGAGCCAGCACTTTGAGGACTGACTCTGTGTGTGTGTGTTTGTCAGAATATCTATGTCTTTAGCGGTGTGTGTATGTGTATGTGTGTTGACCACCCCCTGTCCTTTTCAGCAGTCACAGAGGTGGGTCCACTTTCTACACGGGCATCAAACAAAATGCTTAATAGAACTGCATTAACTCTCAACTCCAAAAAAGAGAAACATTTCAATTGAGACTCAATCAATAAAACACATACAAACCCTCGATCGCACGCAAACACACACGGCCCATGCCTCCATGTTTACCATTCCCTTGCTTTTTCTGTCAAAAGTTAGCACTCCGCTGCATGTGTATGTGTGTGTATGTATCGAACCCCCAGCAGGAACTTGAATGCGGTTTATAGACTCTCTTTTACACTCTTTAGACTTCCATGCGCTCACACACACATCGACTCCCTGTGAGGGGCCAACCAACACACATCGATCCGATCCCTCTCCACTCCATGCCTTCCGCCACCATCGCCACCGCTCTCTCCCCTCTCTCTCTTAATTGTGGTTTCCTTGCGCTCTGAGGAGGATCAATGGGCTGATGGCGGGGTAGGCCGAGTGAAGCAGGGGGGTAGAGTGGAATCGATTCCCTAGCAGGAGTGTCCCCTCTCCCCTTACCTTCCCTAGGCTCTGAGTCCCCTCCTCCACATTAGCAGCTGCTATGCTAACATTGGCCTCAATGCTGTCAATCTTCTCCTGCTGAGCCTAAGACAGAAAGACGCAAGTTACAGACTGTCCATGCACACATACAAACTCCATAATATATATATATATATATATATATATATAATTTGTATAGTATATCTAACATTATATATATATATATATATAACATATGACATTATATAAATTGTCTGTAAATTTACTAATGCATTATTAGAATCAAACGTTTTACCTGTTAATAATATTTAATGGACATAAACTAACATGAACAATGAACAGTTGTATTTTTATTAACTAACATTAACAAAAATGAATAAATACAGCAACAAATGTCTTGCTCAATATTAGTTAATGCATTCAATAATGTTATTGTAAAGTGTTATTTACGTTTAACAGAAAATCGTAATGTGTGTGGGAAATAAACTGTAGGAGTTTCAAGTGGTCACAATTTCCTGTTTTCACCAGTTCTACTTCTGCGGTTATTTTAATTAAAGACATATTCATTTTTATAAGAACAAATATTACAGAGAACAAATATTAGTTTATAAAATTCAAACTTTACATTTTGTATTGTTTTATACAATATAAATACAATATATAAAATATATATTTTATACAAGTGTTTATATAAAATAAATTCTAAACTTCTACATAAATAAAAGCTCCATGTATAATAATTAAGAATGTACAATATTTAGAAAAATGTTGTTTAAAATAGTTTTATATGGCATGTCAAACTGCAGAAAAGTGCTGCTGTCATATCAACTGCCCATATGTGTCTACAATCATTTAATAACCAATAATAAATACATAAATAATTAAAATTTTAATTTTTTAATCCTATCAAATATACAAATACCTCATAAATAGTAAAAAGCAGACAAAGACATGCTCAGTAATCTTGGTAGTGGGTAGCTGGGGGTTTAAGTGCTGGGGCAGAAGAGTGAATGGAAGGGGGCTGGTTGTCGGGGGTAACTGGGTGGTCTGTCGGAAGCTTATGAAATATTCAAAGAGTGGCAGCTGTCTCTCTGTCTAAATCAGTGTGAGCTCTAAGTAACTACTACACACAAGTGCATACGTAAACACACACACACACATATACACAATAGAGACGGCTGGAAAAATCTTCTTTAACTCTCCAGCACAGAGTTACATGAGCCTGGCACCTGCCCCTGTGTAGCATGTGTTTGTGTGAAAAGAAATCTGTATTTGCATTGCTCTCTGCAGCTCATGGCGACTGTAAAGTTAGTGTTCTTCTTCCGCTTCATTTTGAAATAATTTGTGTGTATGTAAATGTGTCTTGAGTGTGCTTTCTCAGGGCTCAACAATAAGGATGGCCTGTTGGCCTATGGCCAGTGTGAGAGAGTTTCAGATCAGTTGATGCACTGTCTCTATATGACCAGTGCTCCACTGCCACTAAATCTTACATGTGTTGATCCTGTATGTGTTTTTATGCCTTGCAGACTTAAACATTTGGTTTTCTGACATGTACTGGACATTGTTGCTGTGAATTCTTTAAATGTTACCAAATGTTATGTAACATAGATTAGGTTTTGCTGATATTTCGAGATTGACACAATCTTGAAAGCATCAGTAAGAATGATATGAAAATGATAAAAGTATAATAATCAGTAATGTTTCAAATTGCAAACCATTATTCCAGGTCATATACTGTATATAACAGACAGTCAGATAGATAGATAGATAGATAGACAG